TTTTTGCTGTACAAATGTCCCACCCGTGACGATGGAATACCCCATATGTATATCTATTGTAATGATTTTTTTTTTCATTTCTGTTTATTATTTTTATATATTTTAACTTATTTTATTTTTAAATTTATGATATTTTTTTAAATTTTATTTAATATTTTTTTAGTTTATAAAATTTTTTTAAATTTTATATTTTTTTAACTTATTTTGAGTTTTTTTGTCAAAAACACTTATGGTACAGTATGCCCTCGGTTAGAGCAATGCCCAAATGTTTAACATTAGCGACTAAAAAATTTTATTTCCTTATTTCGTTTTTTTTTTGTCTTTAAAGGGGTGAAGAGAACTCGGTTTCAGAAAAAAGCACCGTTCAAAAGCTGAGAGAGTGGGTCGTCGACAAAAATATAACCTCAAAGAAAATACAAACGAACATATTCGAATTTTTTTAACACCTTTTAAACAAGAAATATACATATTTCGATTTTGTATACATATAAATGATTTTCAAGTTGTGTGAAGAATATTATTTTACTTTTGATGATATTGTTTTCAGGTTTTATTCTCATTCCAGAATGAAGTTTTTTGTTATTCGGTTATTGCAACCACCTCAATCAACGCAACTGCCCCAATTTTTACCGGTTGCTTTTACCGAGGGCGTACTGCATAAGCACGATGAACTTGTTGAAAACAAAAATTTTAGTTCATTAATTTTTTATCTGTTTTTATTTATACTATTTTCTAATTTTAGCTTTTTTTAATTTAATTTTTTTTATTTTAGTTTTTTTATTTTAATTTTTTAATACTAGCTTTTTATTTATTTTTTATTTCTTTATTCAAAATTTATGTATGTATTTGTATTTTTAAATTTATTTTTACTTTCATAAACTAATTTTTATTTTAGAAATTTAATTAATTTTATTTAATTTTTTTTTGTTGCAATTTTTTTTTTAATTCGTTCTATTTGCTTTTTTATCATTTAAGAGATTGTTTTCCTTAGTTTTACATTAAATATTTCTTTATAATTTTGAGTTTTTATTTTTTGGGTTTTTTTTACTTTAAATTTTCTAATTTAAATTTTTTGTTTACTTTATTATGTTTTTATGTTTTTTTTAGTTTTACCATTTTTTTTTTTTACTTTAAATTCTCTTATTTTTACTTCTACCTTTTTTTCTTACTTTATATTTTCATAGTGCTTATTATTTTTATGTTTTTGTATACTATTTTTAATTTGAATTTTTAGTTGTTATTTTCATTTTTATTTCTTTTTATTTTATTGTTTTTTTTTTAATTACCTTTAATATTATTTTTGTATAGATTTTTACTTTTTATAGAAGAGCAATCGGAAACTACCAAACAAGCAGTTTAAATCATTTTAAGAAAGTTACTAATATTTTCTTTGCCATAAATACATTTTTTGTTAATAATACGTATGTACATACATACATACATACGTTATCTTAATATAAGAAGGCTCTATCTATCATCTCACATCGTCGCAAAAAAACTGCAGCTAACTAAAATTTTGTATTGTATAAAACGATGTGGAGGGGCTTATAATTCGATGAAATGCATCATACTTAATCAATCCAAAAAAGGAATTTTAGATTTTTACTTAGTTGGTTAGGCTTTTTGTATTTCAACGACGATGTAAGATAGGGCCTTTCTGCATTAAGGTAACGATGTATATATAGTATAAATTTACATATTTTACAAACAGTAATTTCATTTAGAACATCCATAGAATACCCAACGAAAGTGATTTTCCATTAATTTATTGTTTATAGGTACCTTTCACATTGCGCGCAAATTCATTTTAATTATTTCAGCTACCATAAAAAAGCCTCAAATGCGCATAACAGTTTGCTTTTATAGCGCTTCGTGTCTACATAGAGAAAACAGCAACTAAACAA